TGTCAAATCCTTTACAGCAAAAGTGGTCTCACTCTCTCTTTTCCTTTCTTTTTGCTTGCCAACCGATCAGAAGTGTCAGATCTTAACAGTACCGCTTGGTATTTCAGATTCTTCCATCCCTTCAGTTTTCACGATGCAACCAAATAGGATCTATAACATGACAGTAATAATACATTGGTACGATTCATGAATTAATTCTACTCTGCTAACTAGCCCTTTGTAATAATGATATTAATACACAGCGTAAGGTTATCAAACTGCACTTTAACGTTTCCCTATGCTTTTCCATCACCACCACTTCATAGAAACGATAACTAAAACCTTGCAACATCGTTTCTTCGATCTCTTTAGTCATTTGAGCCGAATGCAACCTAGACTGTTTTTTCCTTCTTCTTTATTTCATTCAAAGTTGGTCCCATGTTTTTCACAAACAGTTCTCTTCTGTTGATGAAGCTTCGTTCAGTCACTTGGTCCAATTTGTGAACATTATTATTTCATTTATACATCCCCCACATGGCCTTCCTTTACCTTTCTTATATTGAAAGCCAAAGAAGCTGGAGCTTGACTCTGGTCTCTCCTTTTCCAGTGGAGGGTCCTACAAACATTCCTCTTGGTAACCGTGCAGGAATATTACCCTCCACTGCGAGTGTCCTCCTCCATGTAGAGATAGACCTCGTTCACTTTATCCAATATAATACTATAATGATGTACCCTTGGTAAATTTTAATTCATGGTGCCCTTGCTTGGCTCTAACGTGTTAAGCATATGAATATCTGTTTACACATTAAAATTTTAATAAAGTTTGACAACTTTGCATCGTGGTCATGGAGGAATCTAGCTCTTATTGCCAAACTCAAGTCATATATGATCTACTCCACAAAACATCCACTAACAATGTTCCTTTTTCTGGATTTGTTTATTCATTTTGTGTGTAGGAGTATCCACAGAATGTCCTGTCATTCATTTGGATTTACGTCGGTACTATATATATTTTTAAAGATCCTAGAAGAACCAGTCTACTATTTTTAGGGTTTGGTAAAAGCATGATTTATTCATCTACCAAGGAAATTCTCATTCCTTATGACTAAATCATAAGGGAAGAATTGATGTATGTAGGCATTGGGTGATCAAAACCTAGAGGACGACCCTTTCAACCTAGGGCTTCTCTCCAATCATGACCTTTTTACATTAGGGTTTCTACGTACTAGACAGGCCCTAACATTAAGGACAGAAAGGGTAATTATTCACGTAGCTGCGGGACCATATATGTGCAAGCAGGTGATCATTCATTTTTCTAACGAAATCATGTTAAGAAATGTACACCTTTGGAATCGCCTCGGAGCAATTTGTTTGGCTACATATGGCAACATTTTTAAGTCAAGACACCAGAAAGAATGGGCTATATACCTAGCTGCTCTGTATAAATTTTTATTCCAAATCCAATTAATTCCCTCCATTGACCAATATAAATAATTGTTACATCCTTGTTACCCGAATTTACTCCATGAAAGATGCTGCTGAAGATATGTGAACAATTTCATGATGTTACTTCATCCATATCAGCCATTGTAGCTACCTTATTATAGCCTGCTAGATTGCTATAACCATCGCGTTTATGATCTGTGATGAGGCTGTGCCTTAAGAACAAATTTTAGATATTTCTCTAATACTTCCTTTAATAGTTAGTATTCTCAGCTTATGATTTCTTTTTTTTCAACCACTATTTTTTCAAATAAAGATGTAGAGCATGTTTGGTTAGTAACACAGTGAGTTCAACATGATGATTTTATCCACCATCTGATTTCTTCTGCGAAATTGAACACACAAGTAAACTTACATGCTAATAATAGGACTGGATACTGGATATTTATCATTTATTGTCAAAATTGAAGATAAGCACACGTTAGAATCCATTAGGGTTCTGCCTAATATTGCATGCTTAATCTTGTAACCCTAATGACACTTTTGAGGATGTTCAGTCTTCAACAGAAGTTTGAATTTCGAAGCAGCAGTGCCCCACAGCTACCTTGAAATTTGATTGCTAGCACTCAGAAGACCAGGACATGGAATCTCAATTCTGTGCAGAGTCTCCATTTTGGACTAATGACACACAAATTAATAAGGACAAGTCATGGATTGGAGTGAACTTTGGTTTCCTATCATTGTCTTCCAAAGTGAAATCCTCCTTAAACTTTCCTCCTCATCAACTATTCAAATGAGTACCTAAAATTGTTATCATATCATTATCCATATATATTTCGGTTTCTTTATAATCTAAAATGGATAATTTGGAGAAAAGATTTCATGCTGAAATTTGTGGATTAGCATTACTTATTTATAGAATTAATTTTAGATTATTAATAACAATTCTGAAAATAAATTTTGTTAAGTTTTAATTAGTAGATATTAATTGTTTAAATTTATGATCTTATTTTGTCTTGGATTTATTTGGTGGCTTCAAAACTTTAGTATCATTAGACAACAAACAAGTGACACAATACTGCGTGAATAATCTTTGTTGTTAGATATAGAGAAACTTTCTCATTTCATTGCTCGTGATTTCATTTCATTTTCATTTACTTTTCATGTTTAATTTTTTTATAGTTTTTTTTAATTATTTATTGTACTATAATGATTCTCATGGTCACATCTTCTAAAATTCCAAGCTAAATCACCTCGTCACATTCTTATAAATTCTTGTGAATCTAAAGGGAATTATATGATTATTTTATCTTTAAGAGACCTTATAAAACATTGTAAAAAAACTTGAATATCGGACTATCTTTATAGGTATCCTTATCACTTGTGACTAGATCTGAGAACTTGCCTCCTAAGATAATCGAACGGATATTTGGAAAAGATCCAGAAGGAAGACAAAACTTATAAGAAATATTAGAATTAGACTATAAGAACATTTATATTAATAATGATAAAAAGATGAAGAGATTTATAGACAACTATTTTTGTTTGCAGTTGAAGTTGAATAGAAATTGACTTTTTATCTTGATAAAAATTGACTCCAAAATTTATTTCTTCATCATGATGATATTTTATGTTGAATATCATGAAAATAGTAACATCTCCTGTATCCAAAATATATGGATATCCTTCAAAGTCCCAGGTCGAATCATTTAAAAAAGAGGACTAGTAGACTACTATCATAAAGAAGAGGTGATAATTTGAATATACTCATCATAACAATATTAATCTTTAGGTGTATTAGGGACTTGGGTAATTACGTGTCAAGAGAGGGTTTATAATTTTTTTGTGCAAAAATGATAAGAGTTTACAATTTTCTCATTGTAAAAATTATAAGTTGAAAAATAAGAGTGATTGAATATGTAAGAAGATATAGACAAGAAGTGTTTAACTACATTTAGACGTGTCTTGCACATATGAAGATTTATTTTTTGTTCTGGTACCAAAAATATCCTTGAACTACACTTGTTCCTTTTAGGTGTTCTTTCTATTCGTTGGAAAGCATGCTTAAAAAATCTACAATTCACTCCTATATCTTAAATACCCAAATCTACTTTTACCTGATGAAATTGTGGGAGATTTTCAAATCTGTAACTGCTTCCTTTTCCTTGAAATTCTTACGTTGGACAACATAATCTCATGACCACTGAATTTTTGTGGTGGCAACAAAAAGGAGTGTAAAAAATATGGGCTTAGCAGGGATTATTGGGCCTACGTCAGTTTGTGGCGTGCTTTTTGCAATTGAAAAGCTTGAAAATCTATAACTCATCTTATACCTCAAACACCAAAATTAACTTTTTGTTTTAATCAAAATCAAGACCAAAATATGTTATTTGATCATGATAGAGGTGAATTTTCATGTTGAATATCATGGAAAGATAATATCAGTCGTATCTTCAGGTACATTTGTCTCTTTGAGGTGTCCTTTACCTAGGAAAGCCTGATTAAAAATCTACTTATTCTCATATCTCCAATACCAAAATAATCTTTTTTTCTGGATGAAAATCAACCCCAAATTGACCATTTAATCATGAAAAAAAATTCTAGTCCCAAATTCTTTAACATTCTCTTATATAATTCCCTGAAAAAAATCCCATATCTCATACATCCTCTCATTCTCTTACATAATAAAGTGAGCACAGACTTGTGAAGGAGACAATATTAAGGAACTAAAAAATTGGACATATGCTTGTTTAATTATTTTTCTTTCTTTATTTGTTTCTCGGAGTTTCTTCTCCAAAAGCATAGAAAAACTAAGTTGATTTACCCATCATGCTGGAGAAAGATGGTTGTCTTGAGTTCATTTTTTTTTCTTCGTTTTATTCTTGTTAGTATTAATTGGGTACCACTAGTTGACAAATTGTCAAGGAAACTGTTGGTATTTGATACGCTATTAATGTAAAGATGTATAGGCAAGGAGAAACCTGTACCCTTTTCTGTCTTCTTAATAAAAGTTTTGTCCTTACCCTTTCATAAAAGGAAAAATTGGAATATTGTTAATGGTCAAGAAGACTGAACATGATACAGATCTTGCAGGCTTTGGCTACATAATATTCTGTATGTACGAACAGCTAACATTGATTGACAAATTGAAGCAGAACTTTAAAATTGCAACTTTGATAGTGGAAAGGGACCATCCAAGTTGTGGTATAACCAAATATTAAATTCAATTATAAGAAGATCTACTACTTAATATGTCAGCTATTTAAGCCACAACCTGAGTAAGGCAGTAGAAAAAACTGTCACCGCAAAGATGATCTTCCCAAAAAGAAATATGTAGATGGTCAATGGTGTAATATAGACAGGATATTGTTCTACATAGATTTTAATACAGAACACTATTGACAAGGAATACACAATTTATCTTACAATTTAACTTCTGGCCATAACCTGAGGAAATATGAAGTTGGGGAAACAATGACAAATTTCAAATGGTTGAAGGTTCTCCTATACAAGATGACACCACAAAGCATGAAATAACATGAAGAGCAGAATGAATGGAGTGGGGGTACAAAGTAATGCTACCAGTTGTCCTTAACAATTTTTGACTTTTCAAGTATGAACTTTCCTTCCTTGTATTTCTGGGATGCTTCATAAGCTCTTTCATACTTCCAACCCAACACTTCACGGCAATCACCACAATAAACATCAGCAACAGTGTGGAGGCCAGTCAAGAGATGTCTGTCTTCTTTTGGCCCTGTGACAACATTCATTGCATGGGAAAACAGAAAAGCTCGGCCGTTTCTTCCCTAGTTATAAAATTGATGACAATTTCAGAAAATTTAGCTGGGAAAGCTTTTGTAACAGAAAAAACAAACCTCAAATCTAAGGTTAAATACAAGAGCAACCAAAAGCCATCTGTTAGAGAATTTGTAAAGTCCAATGAGAATACAATGATCCCTTGGGAATATTTTCTTCAAGGAAATACGTAAAATAATGAATGAACAAAACATATGACAGTCTTTGTGATATTTGACTGTTATATCTCAGTTAACCATTTACATAGAGAGAAAGACTGAAGATCGAAGATCTAAATCTCGTATATTAAACAATGTCATTCTCTTCCCGACCACATTTAAAATGATGTTTTCAAATTTCAACCAAAAGCATCCAGTGTGAAGATAAAATTGATAGTAAACACCATGTCTTTTCAAATATTCATAACCTAAATTTGTCAATACTTCCATCAGTCTCACTCTGTGGAAGCATCTCAAACTTATTGTAGCTCACTTACTACAAATTGAGAGTTTTATTGATTCTATTAAACATGTAATCATTACATTAAACTTAGACAACACATAGTGCATTAGAAATTCATCGGTGTCTAGAAACTAACATCCTCTTCTTCTTCTTTTTTCAATTAGCAAACAAAATAATAAGAAATTATCCAAATTTTAACCTAAGATATATATATATATATATATATATATATATAAGCAACTGTTTCTTTTTCAAATTGAAAATAAGACCTAAGGTAGTCCTAATAGCATTAAGAAATATACACATTTGGCTTTAGAAGTGGACTCTGATGAGACAGACTAGTCTCATTGTTGATTGAACCACAAACTTCTGTACTTCACCTCAATCAAATTTCTTTCCTCTCCTAATTACCTGGAATTTCCCACTTTACCTTTCTAATAGTAATGGCGCCTAGAAACAATAAAATTCATCAAAGCGCTTACTTACCCTTTTGATGACCAGGAGGGTGATGGGGTCGAAGGTAGAAAATAGGTAAACGGCACTTGCAGGTGAAGATTTCAATTGGCAACAAACCATCTTATACAACTAATAAGTCCATGGTAAAAATTCACATGATTTGAACATAAAATGAAAGAATAAAAAACATTTCATAAAAAATTTGGTCCCCAAAATCACCAGAAAAGTAAAACAGAGAGAGAAAGAGAAAGAGAGAAGGTTTACATGAAAAGCCTTGGAAATTATATCATCGTGGAGTGAAACCTGGTTTCTACAATTAGAGCAGCTATACAAGCGAGGCCCTATCTGTTCCGCCATGAATTGGTTAAAAAAATTTCAGATTAAACACCTCACTGCTCCAAATAAACCAAACAACGGTTACCCAGGAGAGTAACAGAGCAAGATTTCAATTATAAATGAATGAGCTGAAGAAAAGGGGGCAGAGGAAAAAAAAGTGATGAAATTTCTTTACCTACATCAACCTCAATGATGACCCAAAAGTCTGCAACAATAAGATAAGAAGAAAATACGGCTTTAGTTAGCGTGCAGGAATAGACTTGATCACAAACATTAACTAAGATTCCTACGTAGGGGCTTCAAAAAAAGATAAAAAAAAAAAGGATTATATATGGTAATCAGATAAAGACATCACAAACCCCACCAATTGCACGGTATAATATCATCTTAATCATAAATATTAACATTAATAATAAACAAACCAATAATTGTTAAAAAGAAAACATCAAATCAAATCACTGGAACAGAATCCTTTTACAGGAGTGAATGCAGCTAGTTGCTCAGGATCTAAACTGTAAAAAACTACTTTTCATTTTTCTTTGAAGTTAACTTTTTTTTTTTTTTTTACTTTCTTTCTTAGGGTTTGTTTACCTTTTGAACTTTCCATCTTAAAAATTATTAAGAATAAACATGTATTAACTCGTTTTCTTTATTTTTATGTGACTTTTTTCTATTTTAATTGAACTTCAACATATAAAAATCATAATAAAAAACATCAATAAATAAAGTTGAAAAAATCTTGTTAATTAACTTCTTAAACTAGATTATCAAACATAATAATAAGTCCGTTTTTATAAAAATCAAAACAATATACTGCTGTTACAATTTTTGCAACATAGAATAGTCTTATTTATTTGTTTTCATATCTCAACATGCTATTACATGAATAATAGATCATTAAGATGCATGAAAATTAAAGTTATAATCATAAAATTTATAAAATAATAATAACTGAATAGTACAAATATAATTAAAACCTTAATATATTAGTTATACCAAAATTTTGTGATATATAGAATACGTAGAGATTATTTACAATCCAAATATAATACATATATGGCAAAATTAATACTTTAGTTATGTAATCTTATTTTATTTTTAACTTGTTGTGTTGGTTTTAGTTTTGTTTTCAATTTGTTCTTTTAATTAGTTGTAACCTTTTTTTCTCGTGCATTCAAATATGACTGGGCAAAGAAAACAGAATAAAAGAAAATAAAATCAAAATGAAACAAAACGTAGATACCTAAAGTATGCTTAAATATAAACTTCAATTAAGCATGTAACTTTGACTATATATCAATTTTTAGATGAATATTAATTTTTTTTAAGTTGTAATTAAATATAATATATTGATTAATTCTTAATTTCTCAATACATGAAATGTTCATCAAAATGTAAAATATTAACTCTTAATTCTTTTTTTTGTCTTTTTTTAATATTTTCAGTTTTTATCCTAAAAAACACATTTTTGTATGGATTCGAAAACAAGAGGGAACTCCATATTATTATGGCATTTTCAAGTGGTTAAAAGGATTATCTTTACCGTATTATGGATGAAATTTAATTTGTTTTTAACATTTAAAATAATAAATGATAGTTGGTTTCATTAATAAAAAAAATGCAAAGAAAAAACTTATTTTGACTATATTTCGCTTCTTGAGCCATGCCCAATAACAAAAAAAAAAAGCTTTTATTCCATAAAACAGAAGAAAATAAAAAAATGTAAATATTTAACATTATTTTATATAAAATAATAAAAAATTTCATATATATATATATATATATATATAATAATAATAATGAAAATAATTAATAAATAATTGATTGTAATACACAAAATTAGTCATTAACGTCTTTTTAAGATAAAAAAAGACCAACCTAAAATATTGGAAAGACCAACTTAAAGTATTAAAAAGTCACCGACCTAAAAAAGTTAAAATTAACATAATATTTCAATTTTTTTTAAATTATATAAAAAAGCACAATAATTTTTAATGAATGTGTAAAACTTAAAAACACAACTTGAATACATAAGTTAATTTACTCATTGACAATAATCCTAGAGGCATTAAAATTAATTAATTTTTTTCATTCCTAAAAAATATAAATTCAGATATTTTTTTTATATATACTATTTTACTCTCTACAAAACATGATTATTGTTGATTAAGCAAGTAATGAATCAAAATATAATTTGGCATGCCCATTCAATATTCACGTAGGAGGGAGAAAATCTCTCTCACCAATTAGAAAACTCAATTATGAGTATATACAATTAATAAATACGTTAACTAAGAATTTTATACTATTTCTTATTAGTACTCAATAAGTTGAGTAATATGTTTTTTTAAAAAGTTATGATTGAAATATTCGATGTACTTTGTTTATTTTATATTGAAGATGAAATATTAATACAATTTTAAATTAAGCACTTACCATCATAGTGGAATGATTATATATATATATATATATATATATATATATATATATATATATATATATATAATACTTAAGTTTATGATATTAAAAAATAAAAATAATAAAGATGAACATCTTATTTAAAAATTAGATGTGTGTTAATTGGTATATTTAAAATTAGAATTATAGAAGAAAAATTAGTCTAGTTTATTTTGATTTTATCAGTCAATTAAAAATAAAATTGATGGTCATCCATACTTATATTTTAAAATGAGTAAAAAAATTTAATCTTAATCCTATGTTAAAATAGACTAATGATCAATTTCTGCTTTATTGTTTTTTTAATATAAATATATTTATACAAATTCAATTAATTAAAAAATATTTAAATAAAAATAAATTTTTAAAAATTTAAATTTTATTAACGAATTAAAATATAATAATTTAATATATAAATTATAAGATAATATATTAATTTAATTTTAGAATAATAATTAAAAACTGATTTATAATTATTTTTATTTATTTAGTAATTTATTAATTTAAATAATAATTAATCTTAATCATTAAAATAAATAAATAATAGATATTTAATCTAATATTTATTAAACAAGTATTTTTTTTAAATTAATTTATATATATATATATATATATATATATATAATATTTTATTTATTTTTATTTTAAAAATAATTATTATTTTATAAAACTCACCACCTTATAAACTACCATATTAATCTAGCATAAACTCGTATACACTATAATCTAAATAGAAGAGAAAAAAATCAAATTCAATTTAAATCATATATTTTTTAGCCTAACGGGATCTTTCAAGATTAAATATATTTTGATATCTATTTTAAATAATTATTTTTTAACCTTATGAAAATAATTTTAAAAAAATATTTCTTATATTTATTTGTTCTTAAATGTACATCCAAAGAAATAAATTACAAAATTAAATCTAAGTAAACTGAAATGTTTGCCATGTAATAATTTTTTACTCTAAGTATGAAGTGAAAGCATGTAAGTTTTTAAAATCTATATAGTTATAAAAATACAATTTTTAAGATTAATTTAATATTAGTAGCGGATTATTTTTGTCATGAAACGATAATATTATACATTAATTTAATTTTTTTACACAGTTAAACAAACAAATAAAAATTTTCCCACTCTTTCAATAATTAAATTGATGAAGCTTTACATGTTCTAATACGATAAATTTTCATTTAGCCTAGCAATATTTGAACATTTAACATGCTATTACACATTTAGTAAACACAGCCATGTTATAAGAATTTTAAAAAGGAAAAGAGAGTTGAAATATCAATTTTTTTTGTATTAATTGAAGTGTTATTATTAATTAAGTAATTAACTGCTTAAACCATATTCAAATGAATTTAAATGTAAATTAATATGCTTAAAAATTGTTATTTTTTGTAATTTTAAATAACTTATAGTTAAAAACAATACTTTGTATTTTCAGGAATCTTTGTAAGGAACTCCATTTCTATTTAGTGATGCTCTTGAAGTGTAGGTGGAGCAAAACTGAAAATTCAGATTGGTTGAGCAGAGACTTTGAAGTTTAAATCTCTGTTGTGTGACGTGTTTCTGAGAATCAATTAAGCACCTTCAACCTATATTCTGACTCCCTTTCACTTTTCAATTTCAATTTCAATTTGGTTCATCAACCAATCAATCAATTTCCAGCCTCATGTCCGACGGTTATTGGAGATACGCCGAATCAAGGCACGCCCCTCCTTCTGTCGCCGGCAAGCGCTCACGTTCCGACTACGGTATGCCTTCAATTTAGGGTTTTCATTTTTTTTTCTCTCACGCTAGGTTTTCATTTCCACATAAAAATGCCACCATTACCTATTTCACCAATTATCAATTCAAAGCGTTGACTTGACTTTAACCTTATCGATCTTCCCCCTTCCAATTTCAGTCATTTCCTGTTACATAGCTCTTTTCGTTTTTGGTTTGGTTTCATTTGTTTCCTTTTTTTTTTTTTTATCATTATACTGTAACCCTCGTTCCAAACAGAGGGTTACTGTTTGTCCCTTTTAGTTTGAATAGGTTGTACGTCACGTGTCATGATTATGTGCACCATCTTTATCTTGCTGGGGGAGGTTATGCATTCTTAACGTGTAATGTAGCAAAGGAATGTGACAGGTAAATAAAGGGAAAGAAATTATGGCTATGAAGTGTTTGCTGAACTGAATTTGGTCTTATAATTTTACAACTCCATGATTAATGATGAATAATTCTTTGTTTATGTTTTGTCCAAGTGCCTAACTATTTTTGACAGTGGGATTCTACTGAGGTTTATCTGAGTAGAAGGTCATCTGTATGAGTGTCTTTTTACACCGGGAAATCATTTCTGGATTTTCTGTTGGATGCTCAATTTGATCAAAGTCTTAGTTTCAAAATTCAAATAGTTACTATCCTGTTTTTTAATTTTTTCTGTATCCATTCCTTAATTTTAACGGCATACCTCAGGAATCTTCTTTCCATTTATGTGGTTTTAAGCTAGATCTATCTGTTTCATCAATTCAAATTTAACTGTATAATGACTTTATTTGACAATTGAATAAATACATAGTGCTACATCTTTATGAAATGTATATCAGTGCCATATACCATTATTTATACATGGTAGTCTATAAGTGTACAAACATACGTATTGTCCCCATGAATGTTTCAACATATTATAATTGAAATCACCACAGGATAATCAATTGCGAATGCAGTGGGCTTAAAACTTGAAATAGATTGCCGGACATGAAAAGATGATACTCCCCTGCTAATTTTTTCTAGAGTTTTTGTGGTGAATCAATCTTATTCTGATATATAATTTTCAACAATGAAGGCATTCTGTTTCAAATTCATATCGTCTTAATATTAGGCTTATATCTTGATATACATATTTTCCTCTATCATTTAATCTTCTGTATTTCAAAATGACCATGTAAATGATTCGTTGTTACCTTGTTGTTCCTATCTTTACATTCTCATTAATTTAATGTATTGTTTAATTTTGAAGATGTCTCTGGCGTTCATGACTTGCCCAGTTACTTTCCCCATGATGATGATAGAGGAGGGCTACGAGTAATTAGAGATACTGAGTCCCTTGATGCATCTTATGAACATTACCTCCGTAGTGCGGTATTAGCTAATTTTCGGTTCTCAAATAGCCTGTTATCTTGTACCCTCTTTTATGGCCCTAATTGGTATATTGAAACTGTAAACAACTAGAATGTATTTAAAATGTGTTTGTTTACGGATATGATAGAGATCTGGTTGAGTGGATTTTTGAAGCTTAAACTAATGGTAAAATAACCCAAATAATTTCTGTTTTAGTTTCAAATTTCTCATGGGAGATTTGGAGGGAATGGGGGAAAAATTGAAAGTTTTTTTCTTTTCTTGGATACATTTTTAAGAGTAATAATATATTAATATGTCGAGTCCTACTATTATGTAATAACACAAAACTGTGTCTGCCTTGTTCTAATATCTTATGCAGTTAAAGTGAGCATTTGATGGAAATGGAATAATTTATTTCACTGTCTTGCACATCTTATTCCATCTCGTTTTATCAGAATATACATCTGGTGTGTCAAAAGGCCTATTTGTTTAAGGATAAAAATTTGTGCAATTTTCATCAGATTTCATCATATGGTTCGGGACAGTCCACTAGACCCATTGGCGGGCGAGTTCCCAATCGATCTATTGATGATTCACATGTTGCAAATATTGGGGGATTAGACAGGGGAACAAATGAAAAAGACAAAATCCTGGGTTTTAGTAGTGGAAGGGCTGACCATTCTCTTCCACCTGATGCTACCAGTACACTGTTTGTGGAGGGTTTGCCTTCCAACTGTACAAGACGGGAAGTAGCTCGTATCCTTTCATCTGGTTCCCTAGTTCAATGCTTTCACTGGGATTTAACTCTTCTATAAGAGATGCGAAGAGTGAGAGATCTACTGTTGATTTGAAATGAAGTATTTTGCAAACAGAGCCCACTTTAAATCAACCGCAGATAGGTCCTCACTTTCTCTATTCACACATCTCCCCTTAGAGGAGTCAAATCTTTTTCTTTGTAGATTCCTCCTCCTTAACTTGGGTGGTAAAGATATTTTTCGTCCATTTGTTGGCTACAAAGAAGTCAGACTTGTTAGCAAGGAATCAAGACAAGTAAGTTTAATTAAAAAGTAAAAAAAATTATGTCTACATGGTGGATTCTTGACTTTTGATTTTGTGCAGCCTGGGGGTGATCCACTGGTACTTTGCTTTGTCGATTTTTTGAGTCCCGGTCATGCAGCTACTGCCATGGAAGCTTTGCAGGGTAAGGTCTATTTTTCTTCTATTCTTATAATGACATCCTCGTGTATGTGTTGGCAATCCTTTGTTCCATTTCTTTATCCCCTTAAGTGTGCTGAATCTAGAGAGATTGCTATAGAACCATTTTTGCAATGCCATTGAGTTGGCAAGAACAAACTGTACATTCGACTTCTTTATGATTTGCATTTCTCGTGTCCGTAAGAGCGTGGGCTGCTCCTACGAAATATATGCTGGATTGGTTTTGGGTAAAATATAAAGCCGGTAATCTGATGAGGTAGTGATGGATTTAGGATGTAAGTTCTGCCTGGAACATTCCAGTGATATTGGATAAATGATCTTATTGCAAGAACATTAATTAAGCATCTGGACGAGAGTGTGGAATCCTAGAGTAATACTTGATGGTGTTTGAGATAACTACTAAAAACGGCATTGTATTTAACCCTATGCAATGCATTTCGCATCTACTGATGAAAATGGTACTTAAGCTTGGAAAGGTAAAAGACTGCTTCATGTAAAATTAATGTAGCGATAATGAATTTTATCATCTCCTTGCCATCCTTGTCATGCTCATTGATAAAGCTGACAGCCATATTTAATCGTATCTGGTTGAAAGATTGTGGGGGCTAGATTGTGAATATCATCCACTTTGACGTTTCCATATTACGGAGTCAGTCCTATTCCTGGTTTTGTGGAACTCATATGGTTTGGGTGGATTGTTTAAAAGAACATTTTATGCATGGAATATTGATGGCTAAGGGCCTGTTTGACAAAGTACGCTCTCTTGGTTTAGTAGAACTGTCCCATTCATTTGTTCTTCCATCTTCCCTGCATCGTGAGATCGTGAGTTGCACGTCACAAAATTATTGGTTCTGCCTCAGAGATACTTAAACTAGGATAGGATATATACGTTGAATATTCGAAGTTTCATTGAATGCCCCGCGATGGAAACAGTCTAACGATGGAGACTTAAGGTTACTCCATTCCTTTCCAAGTAACAAGTTTGACTCCTTTTGGTAACTAGTGGGGAACGCATTTTCACCTATGCTGGGTATTGGGTTCGAACGTTTTAGATGCATTTCAGGTTTATTATGTCTTAAGCCGAGGTAAGATACAACAGGCGTCTTATATCATCTGCCTATTGACACCCTAATCCGCTGCTCAGAACATCGCTAGTTGTTCAGCGTAAAACAATGAACGTTAATTTTGCAGGTTACAAATTTGACGAGCTTGACCGTAACTCGGTCAATTTAAGATTTCAATTTGCTCGACGCTATCCTGGTGCAAGGTCAGGTGGCATACATCGTGGCAAACGTTGAATTATGCAATCTACAGGTGATTAATTCTATTATTTTAATACGCTCACACTGTTGTTAATGGTCGTTGGATGCTGCATAAAAAACTTCAATATAAACGGTTAATCATGCTGAATCGTGAAACGGAAATTCCATGTAGGATTCACTCACGATGGAGAGGTTACGATTATGATTTTAAGAGGCAATTGACCGTCATTGCAGTCGAGAATTACAGTTGCTTTCATTAAGAACAAGTCGAGCATTGTGGTATTCATGTGGGGAGTGCTCGCTAGAGATTCAGATTGTGCATGTTTGAGAAAAAATTGTCTAATTTATTTAACTATAACTTGCTTCATATTGTCTTGTGCCAAATAACGTGTCTTTTAAAGATGATTCACTGCTGCTTCGAATATATACGTCTATTAATAAGAAGCATGTTTTCTACTTGTGAGTTTTGGATATCAAATATTCTTAATTGTTAACTTCATTAGATTTTGTCGATTTTCTCATTCCTGCTTATCCCAAATCCATCATACCTGCATTTTTTGACCTCAGTATATATATTTCAGGTTAACATGATATTTATAGTTTATAGTTTTAATAAGAAAGGTATTCGATTCTCTAACCAATATCCTTCATTATACAACAAATTTTAGTCATCTAACAAAGCATAAATGTGTGTTTCGAGTTGTTAGTGTTACTGTTGGGTTTATGCATGTGTATATTTGGTGGGTTGCATTTCTGGGAACTATGAACTAGGCTAGTCCCGATCTGTAATTACAATCCTGATAGTAATGACCTGCAAATCGTAGCAATGGCACAATAATATGATCTGAACGGTGTTAGTTATTACACATATTTTATAACGTGTCCAGTCCAAGTTATGCTATCAATTTGAAGTGGCTGGACTGCCTGTACCGTGTGAAGGCATTGCTGTTTGCTAGTCATTAATCTGATCTCATTTCACTTGCACTGTAGCAACTTTCATAATCACTCTGCCTGAAGCTCTCCCATCAAAGATACCCAAGTTTCTATTGTGCCGTTAAGAAAAAAAAAAGAAAAAGAGATCCTGGATTTTGTAGTCTGGACTTCATAGTTGGGTTTACTCGTGTTACATGTAACATGTGCCTCGTTTGCTAGTACTGATTAAGGAAACAAATAGAACAGAAACTAAACCAATTCGTTTGGTTTTTGTTGGATAAACCTCACTCCAGCATCATCCCATGGTTGTTTCATTTCCTTATGTTAATAAGGAAATGTCTTAATCATGTTTTATTTTCAAAATTGAGAAAAAAAAAATAAAAAATAGTGAAAGTTTATTTTTTTACATTTTTTAAATCTTAAAAGCAGAATAATGTGAGTATAAGCTCTCACTTTCATATTTATAAATGGGTCATTCAAACGTAAACATAATAAACCGCCAATAAAACAAAGAAAATGTCATCATTATATCACGGAGTTTCCTATGCAAAAATAGCTAACGAGGAATGAGGAATGCGGAATGGCTATCAGTAAGCAATGGGCGTAAACTGCATCGGAAGTCACTGACAATAGGTTTTGTGGAACATATATTGCTTGCTATTGCCCATAACAACCTTTGAGAATATGAATCCTGTCTTTTTGCTGTCTCGTACTCAAGCCTTGCTCATTTGTAAGTTGTGATCATAAAATATGGCATTTGGCATTAAGTAGCAAATCATTCATGTTGAACCACGTTTATGGAGTGCGAAGCACCCATTTCATAAACCATAACTTCCACTGCTTTAGCCAATTTCTCCTTATCCCCTTCTAGTAGTTTCTGCTATAACTGAGGAGATAAGCCATCTATATACAATACAATTTTTTTTCTTTCTATTTATATCTATCAAATCATTCAATATACCTTAAAAAAATTATCTTTCTTTCTTTTAATTGTTCAATTAACATTTCTCTAATAATATGCAGGGTATTGGCTAGGAACAGCAGAAAAAGAGCGAGAATATTACTTATCATGTAGTCTATGATAATTTTTATTTTTATTTTTATTCTCTATCAAGAAAGATATTTCCAAATGATAGCCAGCTCACCAAGATCTGACTTCCAATACTCACAAGCTGACAATGGATAGACTTTGACTAGGATGTTATAATGTTTTGTTCTTATATTTATATTTCTTTTCATTAAAGAAAAAAACTTTCCCTTAAATAATTTTGACTTTTATTCACAACTTTCTTAATCAAACATAAGCTCGAAAAGTAATCAATTCACTCACCGATTAAATCTAATCTGAATTTTCCATTTTGGCGACCAAAGGTACATACCTAAATACGTAGAAGAAAATGCCAACCATGGCTATGCTGATAAAAGTTCGAGGAATGATGTATTGATATCATATTAGACAAAAACAATTCCCAATACAACCTAATTTATTAATATCATAAGTAAAAACACTTTAAAAAAGTTTAAAAATAATTTTAATTTAGTATTATATTATTAAAAACAGTTGTTAGTTAAGAAAGTGAGTTGTCAAAATAATTTTTTCCAAAAAAGTATGCTGAAGTGGGGAAAAGAGAAAAATGAATCCAACCCATGTGAGTGAGTCACGTACAGTAATCAATCAATCACCCACATTATCAGCATTCACACCTCACACCACACAGTCTGATTCTCCAGGTTCACACCAGCTCCTTCCGTTCCTTTCTAGTTTTTTTCTTTTTTATTTTATTTGTTGTTTTCAATGTTTAAAATAATATTAACAATTTTTTCAATTATATTCACATTTTTATCCATCTAATTTATATAATTTGTCTGATGTATATATTATAAGATAGAAATAAAAAATTTCGTAACTATTTTACCGTGACAAAAAAATTATTAGCTTTTAGATACTGATTTATAAAATGTTGGCAAAATGCGTACAGAAATTGAGGGAGTTGAAAATATGGATGCGAGGGAAAATAATGTAAGTAAAAAATGTGAATTTCAGAGTTAAAACCGATGGAATCGAGGGTAAAGACATGTGAATATAAAATTGTTTGGGTTAAAAAAATTAAAAATGAGAGGATTAATAATAAAAAAATATTTTAATAGAAGAAATTTAAAAATGGTCAAATTAATTTTTAGTAAGTATCTATTCTAAGTTATTGAGTGAGAATTTTCTAATAGATACTTGTGTAAATTAAATCATACATACTATAGTTAAAACAGACAAAAGATGAAACTTATCTTAACAAATTAGTGCATAAATCAGTGCCCTTAATCATGAATGGGAGGGACCAAAACCAAATTAAATTATCATTCAAAAGTGTAATAATTTACAGGTCCAAATCCATATAAACTATGCATATTGTAATTCATCTCACTATCTTTAGCTACCATTTTTTTTTAAACTATAATATCTTTCGATTAATTTATCCAGATACTGGATTCTATTTAAAAGTTTGACTAATTTTTAATCATAAAAAATAATTTATTATTTAAATAAGTTTTTAATATATTAATTTATTTTTATTTTAAGTACTTACAATTTTTTTTACTAAAAAATTTAACATTTTTATTTAAGTCTTTTTAATTATCTTGAAATATGTGTCATATAATTTAGATTTTAAAATTTAAGATTTAGGGTTGGAATAGGTCTCACGTAAAACGTCACTATATGGTAAATATTTTCTCAGAAAAGTAAACCAAAATTTTATAAAGTACATGATATTCAATTTTAAAAAGGAAAAAAAAATATCAGTAAATACTTAAACGAAATTAGTCCTATCTTAAAAACTTAAAACTTGTTTAAACCTTAAATTATTTACAATCATATTAGATCCGGTTAGTTCTTCTGCAAACAAATAAATAAGAAGATTTATCATAAATTTCAAAAGCTCAAATATATTTTTAATTATTATAAATATATTTTTTTATTTTCTATAAATTTTTGTATCTATCTAAATCTAGAAATCCTCATCCATGATTTCTAAAAGAAAAATGTTTCTTCTAATCTATAAGTGTGAATATTAATACACCAAAGTGTCCCTACTCATTAATGTGCTGCCGCAATAATCCTTCATTCTTTTTCAAAAAATATTATAATTTAAAGAAAAAATTACTATAATGTATATATTTAAAAAATAGTAAATATATATATATATATATATATATATGTATATATAATACACAATTAAACAAAATAAGTTAATATATTTAAAAAGTAAATAAAAAAAATTTAATTTTTTTTTGAAAATATATAAATACGCACAAAAATTTTAGCGTCCGTCTGGATAAGGGTGCACAGATAAGATAGAAAAACGAGGCCATAAAAAAAGTTTTTTTTCTTTTTTCTTTTTTCTCTTTAAGTTATTAATAAGTGTGTCTATATAAATGATTATGTCTTATTTTTTAACTATTATAATAATAAATAATTAAATACAATATTAAATAATAAATAATTTTATTTAAAATTAATAAAATAATATTTTAAATAATCAAATCAATTTTATTTTTTATTACTTTTTTTTGTCTCATTTTTTTTTTCACTCCCTTAAATATACTCTTCGTTCTAAATACAATATTAATATCGTCAAAAACATCTTAATACACGTATAACATTAAAATAAGCCAAAAAGAGTAGCACGTTACGTTTAGGTTTGGTGTGAAAAGTGCGTAGTTTTGAATTGTAATGATGCGGTGGTCAACTTTTGAGTAGTGGAGAAATTTGCGGCATTCGTTCACTTCACATCACACTATTCACTAAGTGGACGTTTTGAGTCCTTCCTTTTGTTTTCTTTTTCTTACTTAATTACTTGCTTTTGTTTGGTACGTTCGAAGGGGTATTTTCGTGAAATTAATTTAATACAAAAGAAAAAGAGATAAAACAATTTTAAAATAATGGAGACACTGTATGCTAACAAAAGCTGTTCTACACATTCCTATCATTGAAATGATCTATTTCGACAATTTTGCATTAAAACAAAAAAATGATCAAAGGAAGAATGATTTTACATGAATGACATTACTTTTTTCTTTCCGTGGTGGTAGGGTTAGTTCACAATTGGATGTTTAATTTAACCACTAAATAGAGACTCGTTAATTAGAGGCAATAAAACCAACAATAACAAAAAGAGTGTTGCAACCTTTTTTCGTAGTTTATATTTGATTCTTTTTAACTACTCACCATTTTTAAAGAAAAATATTTAATTTCAATCCAAAGATAAAAAAATATTATTAAAGATTATTATATTTACAAATAAAATAAAAATGATAGTTATTAGGATTGAGAGGGTATTTTTCTAAACTAATTTTAAATATAATATATAGTGTGAAATATAATTCTACTTATCTATCCAAATTTATTAAAATTAATTAATTTATTTAATTATCTTATTATATATTAATTATTTATTATTCATTATAATATCAGTTATTATATTTTAAATTGTTATTATTGATTAGACGAATAGTTATTATATTTTGCACTATTATTATCTTTTGAGTCTTATATAAAGATACTAAATAAGAGATTATATCTTATTTCATCACTTCTTTTAAACAAGTTGATTTAAGCGGTGAAGTATCTTTTGCATTTTGGAGCGTTTTTTTACAGTTTGGAACGTCTTCTACAATTTGGAGTGTTTACAGGTAAATCTTTACTTCTTTTAAAGAAAGTTATTTAACATTTTTAAAGTTGAAATCGAAACATAATCCATAAATATCCTTAGTTTAACCTCACATTTTTTTGCCGACTTTTTCAATCTGATAAATAAAAATAATTTATAGTAAAAAAGAAAAATAAATCAAAAGTGATTTTAATGGATCGTAAAATTAATAATTTAAAGTAGATACATACGAGATTAACTTCTTATATAATGGACTTAAAAAAAAATTGTTAATTCAATTTTCCCTTTAGAAGTTTTTAGTTATTTAAAATTCACTGGCATTTTTTAAAATGGTTTTATTTCATTGAGGGTATTTAAGTAAATAACTCAAATCAAGTTGGAAATTTGCACAATTTTAAGTCTTTGGTCTTCGTTGGTTTTTAATGAAAAATATATTTCTTTATCTCAATATATATCTAAGTAATTTGAGAAGTCACACTTATGTAGGGTAATTGTGTAACATTGTTATAAAAATGTTGCTACAAATACATTTCTTTATCTTCAAACATTTTTCAGAACGTTGTTATTATGTTGCATCATTTTAATAAATAAGGTTATCGAAGTTTTAAAATTACTATATTATTTTTCTATTTATTGCCTTTTCTTGTTCAGCGTATAAACATATAGGAGGATAGTTATCATGGAAGGGGATCATCCTCTTCATTATATTTATATTCAACTGCAACAAAATTAAAGTCAAACATATATCATTGATCAAAGTAGTTGAATGATGGGTGCAGTAAGGATAAAGACAACTTTATATGTTGGAATCAGAGCCATTCGTTTTACCCGAGATACAGCAGTCCTTGGGACTGTCTTTTTTGTGCGTAGAAAGATTCCTCTTTGTCTTTGCATATATCAATGTATGATTTTCTACATGCATGACATTTCAATTTGACACCTTCTTTGTGTTTCAAGAGAAGACACTTTTACCATGGCTTCCACTTTGGAGGTTGAGGGTGGCTCAGACTCAGAGAATGAAGAGTGTCCAGTGAAACAAGTGGAACTCACCGTGCCTAAAACTGACGACCCCAACATGCAGATTCTCACGTTCAGAATGTGGGTTCTGGGGGTTGTTTCATGCGTGTTGTTGTCCTTTGTGAACCAGTTCTTTTGGTACAGGACACAGCCTTTGATTGTTACCTCAGTTTCTGCTCAGATTGCTGTGGTTCCTATTGGCCACTTCATGGCACGGACTTTGCCAACACGTGTGTTCTTCAAGGATACGAGGTTTGAGTTCTCACTCAACCGGGGACCTTTCAACATCAAAGAGCATGTTCTGATAACCATCTTTGCCAATTCTGGTGCTGGAACTGTGTATGCTACTCATATTTTGAGTGCAGTGAAGCTCATATATAAAAGAAAGCTCGATTTCCTTCCTGCCTTACTAGTCATGTTAACTACTCAGGTCCTCTTCCATCCAATATTATTCTTTCTCTTTCTTGTTTATCACCATCCAACTTGTGCTTCATTCACTATCTTTCATATTTATTACTCTTTGTTCCTCTTTATAAACACATATTATTACAACATTTTAGAAACAAGGGTATGATTCATAACACTAATTTTGGACAAAAGTATAAATTTTGGACAGTTTTTGTTATGAATTAAATTAATTACTTTGTTTAGTTTAGAAAAAAGAAGGTTATTAAGTCTTTTAAATAGAACTGGAGGGAGGTAATGTGAGAATTTGTCAACAAAAACATGCATACTTTGTATTTCAAGTCAATTAAAAGGTCAACGTTATAATTTATAAGGAATTTATTGCCATATATAACTTGTTTGTATTGTATTTTTGGGACACTGACAAATTCCTTAGGAGATTTGAATCCTCAGGCTCTGGAATTGAAAAGTTCGTAAATCATTTACTTTTTACTAACCATTTTACACAGAGTTTGAAAGGTTTAGGTTGGTTTTACTTGGGCATATCAGTTTCTTACAACTTTGGTCAAGATCACTAAATGAGATTATATGATTCTTGATAATTCCGCTAGATAAAAATATGTAGATTTCACCCCCACAAAATAAATTTGAGATTAAATTATAACTAAATTTATGTTTTATTTTAAGAGAATGAAAAAAAAAAGAGAGAGAAAAGAAAAACAAAGGAAAATAATAAATTGATAGATGTGACAAGTGATGTGATGAAAAATAAAAATAGCCATAGATAGAAAACTGAGATGGAAGTGAAACGAAAGAAAAACGACGGATATGTTTAGTTAGTATTTTTCAATTGAGTAAGGATGCTCAATGATGTTCGTAATATTCTTAGTCCATGGGTTATGTGAAAAACATTGTCACAATCCCCTAAAAAAGCTCTATTTTTTTTTTTTTGTGATATTAATTCATGTACTGTATTAATGCCACCACTTTCATATGAACTCGTGAGAAGTATACTATATGCTTTGTTATTCGAATTTAGGTGCTGGGGTTCGGTTGGGCAGGAATTTTCCGGAAATTTCTAGTTGAGCCAGGGGAAATGTGGTGGCCTTCTAATCTGGTTCAGGTCTCATTATTCAGGTGAATTTTCTATCATGTACTACTTTTTATGATTTAAATTTCATCAAAACAGAGACTCATTAAACAGTAAGTGAGGTTCTTCAAATTTGAAAATTTCAATACATTTCAATCATTGATAGAAACGTGTTCAAATGAGTTGTTTTTGAAAGAATGCAACTAAGTTGATCGAGTACATTAATGCAGTGCTCTACATGAGAAAGGCAAAAGGCCAAAAGGAGGCACAACAAGAACCCAATTTTTCCTCCTTGTCTTGGTCTCAGGCTTGGCTTACTATGTGTTTCCTGGCTATCTGTTTTCGATGTTGACATCTTTCTCTTGGATGTGTTGGGTTGCCCCCAAGTCTGTCCTAGTCCAACAACTTGGTTCTGGCTTGAGGGGTCTTGGAATTGGTGCACTTGGATTTGATTGGTCTACCATTTCTTCTTACCTTGGCAGTCCACTAGCCAGCCCTTGGTTTGCTACTGCTAATATTACTGTTGGGTTTTTTCTTATTATGTATGTAATGACACCAATTTCTTACTGGTTCAATGCCTATGATGCCAAGACTTTTCCAATATTTTCAAGTAAGCTGTTCATGGGAAATGGGACACAGTATGATATTTCAACTATTGTCAACTCCGACTTCCATCTTGATCGGCATGCTTATTCAATCAACGGGCCAGTGCATCTCAGCACATTCTTCGCAATGACATATGGCCTTGGATTTGCAGCACTTTCTGCTACCGTTGTGCATGTTCTGCTCTTTCATGGAAGGTAGCCACTATGTGGATCATCATCTGATTTTATCATCTATGTCACATGTGTTTAAGATATTATTATTAGATGTTGGACTTGATTGCACTTTGAATCCATTTGAGATTAAATAACGGCATAGAGTATACCATAAGCATTTCAGTTAAAGATCAGATATCAAGTTAAATGAGAGATAAAAATTGTACAATTAAAACAGTGAAAATCGGATTTGTGAGAGAAAAAAATAGAGGGACTGAATATGTGAAATGGTGATGATAGCATGACCAAAAAAGTGAAATCAAACCTAGATATTTTATCCCCCTCACTTCTCTTAAAAGAATATCTATGAAGCTGTTGAATTATTCTGAACGTCTCATATTAGACACATTAAACTTCAAGTTTGTTTTGTCCAGAAACATGTTATATGTTCCCTTTACAGCAGAAACTTGTTTTGTTCCTAACTGAAAATGTGCTTAAGTTACTAGTTACTTTAACGAGTTATGTTTGTGCTGAAAATGAAAGTATAAATCGAGTATCAGTTAATGTGAAAGTCTGCAGAGTCCCCCACCCTATTCCAATTAATTTTCATTTGTGAAATATGTTGTTTTGTCTTTCGAAATTTCAATTTCATAAACGCACTTATTGATATGAACCTCACTATCATACGCGTCCTACGCAGGGAAATATTGGAGCAAAGTAAAAGGGCCTTTGGGAACAGTACAAAAATAGACATCCACACAAGACTCATGAGAAGATACAGATCAGTCCCCACGTGGTGGTTTTACATCATTCTAGTAGTGAACATCGCTCTTATCATGTTTATTTGTGAGCACTACAACGAATCACTCCAGTTGCCTTGGTGGGGTGTATTACTAGCATGTGGGATTTCCATTTTCTTCACTCTTCCAATTGGAATAATAAATGCCACTACAAATCAGGTATCTCAACAATTCACTTACTGAGCTTGCTAATTTTACATTGGTGCCAAGGAGAATTTTGTAAGACCTCTTCTCTTTGTTCTTAACAGCAACCCGGTTTAAACATCATAACAGAATACATAATTGGTTACATGTATCCAGAGCGCCCTGTGGCTAACATGTGCTTTAAGGTGTATGGCTACATCAGCATGACTCAAGCACTAACCTTTCTGCAAGATTTCAAACTTGGACACTATATGAAGATTCCACCAAGAACTATGTTCATGGCACAGGTAGGTTGTGATTCCCCTATCATTAATAATAATATGTGTGAAGAGACTAAATCTGTTTTTAAATTGCACTCTATGTAGGTGGTAGGAACAATTTTATCAGTACTTATATACACAATAACAGCATGGTGGTTGATGGGCACGATCCCTCACCTTTGTGACACTTCCGTGTTGCTTCCTGATAGCCCTTGGACTTGTCCGATGGACAACGTGTTCTTTGATGCATCAGTTATATGGGGTCTTCTTGGACCACGCAGAATCTTTGGAGACCTTGGTGAATATGCCAAAGTGAATTTCTTCTTCATTGGTGGAGCTATTGCTCCCTTTCTGGTTTGGCTTGCTCACAAGGCGTTTCCAGGGAAAAAATGGATAACTCTAATTCACATGCCTGTTTTGTTGGGTGCTACATCAATGATGCCCCCTGCAACCGCAATCAACTTCACTAGTTGGATAATAGTTGCCTTTCTCTCAGGCTACGTTGCATATAGATATCGACAACAATGGTGGAAACGCTACAATTATGTGCTGTCTGGTGGTCTTGATGCTGGAACCGCCTTTATGACAATCTTACTGTTTCTTGCTTTGAACAATAACAACATTTTGCTTAACTGGTGGGGAAATAATCCTGAAGGGTGCCCCTTGGCTACTTGTCCCACGGAAAAAGGCATTGTGGTTAAAGGTTGCCCGGTTTACTGATTATTATTGGATGAGTAGTGTTAGCAGCATCCTTTCATACTAGCATGCACCTTTCAACAAACATTTTTATTGGTTAAAATTTGTAAGAACTACAAAACTAGATGTCAAATTCGTTAAATAAAAAGTGAAAAATACATTTCTGTAATTTATAACAAATTTCAGCTTAAGGGTAAACATAGTATTAAAGTAGATATTGCTAGCATTTACGGTAGATTTTATTATGTTATGTTGAGTTGGTGGGTTTAAATTTATGTAAGACTCATGTCTTTGAATGATTTCCCTTTCCTCTATTTGTATAGCAGTTCGATCACTCTTGAAAAAGCATGGAAGATGACGTTGCGTCTTCTAGACCCAGTCATGTAGGAAACCTCACTATTTAAGTGATAATAAATGAGTAAGTGAAAAATACTCCTCAAAATGCAATAAATAAACTATAATTCTTTTCAACAGACAATTTTGTCTCCATTCAGGCATTAATATCAGTTGCGGTTGTTTAAGAAACTGTGTGGTAATGCAACAGATATCATTTTGGAGTCCGAAAATAAACAAAACTTCATACTTGTCTTAGCACAAAGATACGCTTTATTATATATATTTGTTTAAATTAAGTTATTATGTTTTAAAATAAAAAATAATATATTATATTTTAATTTAAATAATTTAAACAAGAAATTATTAATATTTAATATTTTATTATATTTTTAATTTATACATAAAATATATGTTTAAAATATTACTATTATATTATATATTAGCAATGAAGTTGTATAATGTGTTTTTCCTGCATTTGTCAAGTCAAAGAAGATCTAGGAGAGGTGTCATGCGTAAACATTGTATTATATCTTTGCCATTTTAATATAATTTATGTGGACTACACCTCAACTATTTTTCTGTTCACTATTTATTTAGGGGGAAGTGAGTTGTTTTTAGATGACGAGAAAAATGTTAATATGTGCGGTATTAAATTATAAATATTTACAAATTAAATTTAAATAATTGATTGTGGTTAAATAATTTAATATATAAATATATATTTTTTAATTATTTAATAAGCATAAATTAACCTATAGAAATATAGGAAATATTTATAGAATTAAGTATATTTTTTTAAAATTTATATAAAAATATATAAAAGTTATTCATGTTAAAACGGATCAAAGTGAGACTATGATTATAACTAAGGTTATTAAACTCGAAAACATACATAGATTCGTGAGAGCTCTATAAACTCAAGTTATAAATTCGTAAGAGTCTATTTCATATGAAAAGTACAATCTAACAATGATAATATTAATTTCACATTACTAAAATAAATAAGTTCATACAATAATACACTAATAAAATAATATAAAATAAGTTTAAGACATTTTTAATTTCAATATTTATATCTAAAATAACATAAAAAAAATCAATTGATTTTGTCTAGCAAAATAATTAAAACTAAAAAAATAATTAATTTTTTTTTACAAATCCCTAAATATATTTGAAAACCTTAAAATCTCAAATCCCTTAATCTCTCAATCTAATTTGTGAGAGGGGTGGTCAGTGACTAACCCGAGAGAGGACTAGTGAAAAATGTGGTCAAAGATCAGCGGTCGAAGGTGAGACACGTGACCACCGAGAGAGACGTGTGATACAACCACTGCGTAACAAAAGGGAATAAATGGGTGACGAAAGGAACACTGCAACGCAACTACAAGCGACGACGATCATCAGTGAACAATGTGAAAGAAAAGAAATACGTGATATGAACCTGTGAAAAAAAAAATGAGAAGTGTCTTTTCTTTTTCAAACTCAGTGACTCGCGAGTTTACTCAGAATCTACCGAGTTTGATCCTGAGTCTACTCTAAAACGAGTTTACTCACGAATTAACTCATCATTAGTCACATGACTTGTTAACTCATTCGAATTAGCAAATTGACTCGTGAGTTTGATAACCATTCATATAACCACTCTAACTATAACGAATCAATCAATTAGCACGGGATACAATGATCTGAATGAATGATTGAACTATTGCTATGGAACATTTCAAATGATATCATGAGTTGTTAAAACCAAGGTATAAAATTGAAGACAATTCTATCACAACAGCATGTTGACATATTTTTTTTATTACATATTTATTTTCTTACACAACTTAAGTTGCCATAACGCGATTTCACTGTTGGACATTGTCATGAGTTAATGGTTTAAAGCAAAACAAAGTTTATTGAGTACCTTATAAACATGAAAATGATAATAATTTACTCAAAGTTATATTTTTAAGCTAGTGATGAAACTTAGCCATTTCCATCAGCATATGCACACAGAGCACTGGCTCATCTGCTGCAAATGATTGACACCACAGCACAAGCCACATGAAAAAAGTTGAGAATTTTCCCCAATTTTTGCAAGCCAAGATTTATTACAGAACTGTTGCCTAGCTCTTTTATTCTATTACTGAGAAGACAATTCAATCAGTAGAGAAAATGATAAATATGTGGAAGCTCTCGAACCACCAAATATTCTTGAGCAAGCATATTCATCATTCATCACATTCTAAAGGAACAAAAGAAATGCAGCAGTATCCATCTCATAATAGTTAGTCATACCCTTTTCCCAAACAGTTCAAACAACGTTGAACCCTGCAAAATTAAGAGCAAGCATTAGAAAACTATAATAGCCCAAAAAATCATAATGCTTGGTGAATGATGTTTAACTCGAACAAAGTAAATTTCAAATCCCTAAAAGAGCAATCTCCTGGCAATTTCATAACAACTTCAATAACCAAATTATCTTCTTTGTCTCACATTTACTCGGCAAGCATACCCTATGCTCGAATTTCACATCGAATGGCATAACATGAAGCAGAATAGATCCAAATCTAACCTGTTTCCTTCGCAAGTAGGACAAACGCAGGGGTTAATTGCAATAGGGTCGAACATGGGGGACCAAGCTATGGTGGCATTCCCATTGCATAATTTGCATATATAAAACCCCTTCCCTCTACAAGCCCTACACGGCAAAGCAACTTTTTCCTACATACAAACCCAGAAAACATGTTCCATTACATGAATTTCCAAAAAAGAATAGGAAAAAGCCATGAAGTTCAATTAATTCTTACCCGTTTCTTCTCTGATGCAAACCGAAGCAATTTGATGGTAGCAGTAGAAGCCAAGTTCACAGTGGCTACTCCACCAAAGATAACTAGACCCATCCTAACCAATGGCCCCAATGGCTTTAGATTCATGTCTTATCTTCCAATATCTATGCTTATTCCTTTTCTCACACCCGATTTATCAAATAACTGATCCGCACCATAACAATAGTCACAAAATACTGAAAATAGCCATCGTTGAATATAATGTACGTTTGTAAGAGTTTCTCCACCTATTAGAGAGAAAAATAAAAAGGAAAATTATCCATAAATTTAAATTTTATGCATAAGAAAATTAAAAAAAAAGAAAATATATAATTGCTCTAAATTTTTTAGTTTTAATTTGTACACAAAAATAACTAAGAAACTTATATTTTTCATCTTATTTTTCTTTACTAGAACTGTATATGAGAAGGAAAGTGCTCATGGTTAGTTTAACCTTAAACAAAGTAAACCACAATACAAACATAATAATGCATTCATATATGAATAAGTAACAATAAAGCAATCCAACTCGGGCAAAACACTTAAAGTACAGTTGTGCTGAGACGACATGATAACAAATAAAAATGCACAATAGAAATACGTAAAAGAAGTACTATGTGAAAAGAAGAAAGAACTCAAGTTATATACAGCATGTATCTTAGAACTTTCTCATAAGTATTTCTAGTAGGTAAAATAGAATGAATTTCTTTATAAATTAAAATTAACTTATGCACAAGCTAAAAATAAAATAAAAATTAGAAAAACTAAATAAGAAAGTATTTACTAATTAACTTATAACTTTTTCATAAACTAAACTTAATTTATGTACAAGTTGCAAGTAAAAAATATATGAAATTGTTTCTATAAATTAGTGTATATATAAAGACTGTATACAGAAGTTATGAGATATAACTTTGATAGGCACTACACAGCCTTTTTCAGGCAAAAACTACAAAATAGCTTTGATAGCTGTTGAACAAAACATTTTAGATAAAGATTACAAGACAGCTCTGATAGCTATTGAACAAATTATAAATTTCCCTTTAGCGGGATACAAAAAGTCTATACTAGACAGTATAAATACTTTTCTAGAAAACTAAAAAGATTGATAAAACTATGTGGCGACATAGGGTATATGGGATACTTTAAGTCACGTAGAAAAAACTCTTGGGGTTTTTTAGCTAACCCAATTGCGGATAGAGACTACCAACAAGCTGTAGATACTTTGGTAGTAGAACACAGAAAACTACAGGATTGGTTCTAAAAAACTTTATCAAACCTAGACCTAGAACAAGATAGGTCAGAGGAAAATATGTATAGTATTTTTACTATCCCTAAAAACGAAAAACAGTCCTATGATAGAATGTGAAAAAGAAACAATAGATAATGTATCTTTTGATGATGTTAAGGTTCCAACATAAAACCAATTGGCTATATGTGGAGTAACCTAACATGTATTTAAATCATACCAAATGACATGAGGTAGGCGATGTGGGACTTTCAACACACCCCCTCCAACAAAGCCTGTCGGACCAGGCAAATGGTACTTTTGACCCAACTAAAGGGCAACTTTTGGCCCATGACAATAACCGGAAATATGTTAGACTTTGGCTCTGATACCATGTTAAGGTTCCAACATAAAACCAATTGGCTATATGTGGAGTAGCCTAACATGTATTTAAATCATACCAAATGACATGAGGTAGGCGATGTGAGACTTTCAACAGATGACATTATAAACGAATTTTTAGATGAATTTTATCCAGATGAAGATGATATATTGGATAATTTATCTGAAATCTCAGAACCCTTAGAAACCCTAGGGTCTGAAAACATGAGTGTTGAATCAGATGATTTTCAATCTCATAACTACCAGTTAGAATCTGATGATGATTCTATAAAATCACTACACAATATTGGTTCTGATAGCAATCAAAACCTTACACTAGACAATATGCCTTGTACAGAGCTGAGTCTACAAAACCCTAAACTTCTTCTAAACTTAGGAGAAACATTAGACTATTTGGGTAATGGTTTAATGAACACAATAGAGAAAAATTCTTGTTGTCATGACATTCAATTTTTCTCAGGACCAGGATCCATTCCTTGTCTACATTGTGAAAGATATTTTCACATTTCTCAAAGGGCTCATTGTCCCCTTTGTTACAAAAATTTATGTATAGATTGTTTAAAAACTAAACAGGGAATATAGAAAATACCTACTTTCTTGGAAAAAGAAGAAAGTACAAAAGACAAAAATTTAATCGACACTAGGACTTCAGTCTTAGAAACCCGATTAAACCTAATTGAAGAAAAAGTTCTTTATTTAGAAAAAAATTGTTAAAGGAAAAGATACTAATAAGGATTTAGTATCTAATCTTACACAAAACAATATGATGGGAACTACGGAACGTATCGCATTAGTTTGTAATACAAAACAACTAATTACCGTAAAGGTATTAGTAAAATTAAACTTTCCCTAGAAAGACAAATATCCTGCCAAAGAGACTATAGTTCAAGCTCTCTTAGATACAGAATGTTCTGAAACAGTTGTATGCAGAACAAAAATACCCACATACATGATTACCAAAAGTAAACATGTACAAAAAACCAGAACGATGTCTGGTCAAATAATGATAAATGATGAAGAGATAAGAAATATCTCTCTTCAATTTAACACAAATTGTGACCTGTTTGGTTAGAAAATACACATTAAAACTATGAGAGTGGAAAATTTAGTCCCCTCCAAACAAAATATGATTATTGGTTTAAACTTTATCCTAGGCCAAGATCGAACTATCACTATAAACAAAGATTATGTTATAATTAGTGATAGAACACAAATGTCTCCCATAATTAGCGGCGACAACCCAATATACATAGAACAACCTATGGATAGATGTTCTTGTAATAATCCTAAATCTTCTGACATATGTGATTGTCTGGAATAAGATTTAAAAAACTTAGATTATTACTACACAGATGATATCTTGGAATCTTTTTCTTCCATAAAGATATAAAAAACAATCACGTTTGACAACATCCAACAAATACTGGATAGGTTAAACAAAACAAGCATAATAGGAGAAAACCCTACTAAGTTTTGGAATTGTGACCCTGTTATGTGTAAACTTAATATAATCAATCCTAATTTGATTATAAAAACAAAAGACATACAGTTTAACAACTAGGAACAAGAAGAATGTCGATTGCATATCGACAATCTTTTGAAGCTGAAAGTAATAACTCCTAGTGAAAGTCCTCACATGAGTCCTGCTTTCATTGTTAACAAAGCTTCAGAACAAAAAAGAGGTAAATCAAGGATGGTTTACAATTATAAAAGACTTAATGATAACACAGTCGAAGATGGATATACTATTCCATCTAAATATATTTTGATAAACCGCATACAAAATGCAAGATAGTTTTCAAAATTTGATTTAAAGAGCGGGTTCCACCAGGTTAAAATGGATCCTGACTCTAAAATGGACAACTTTTTCTTGTTCAGAAGGATTATACGAATGACATGTTATGTCTTTCGGCCTTAAAAATGCACCCGCCATTTTTCAAAAAAAAATGGACAACATTTTTAAGGACTTTAAATCCTTTACTTGCGTCTATATAGACGATATACTTGTTTTTTTCTAAAATTAAAGAAGAACATTTTCTTCATTTAAAACAAGTATTATATAAATTAGAACACTATGGGTTAATAGTGTCTAAAAACAAAATGGAAATCTGTAAAAGATTTATAGAATTCCTAGGAACAGAAATAGGGAACGGAACCATAAAACTCCAACCCCATATTTCTAAAAAATTCCAAGATTTTCCTGATAAAATGGAGGATATTAAAACATTAAGATCCTTTTTAGGACTCTTAAATTACGCCCGAAATTTTATTCCAAATTTGGGTAAATATACATCTCCTTTATACAACAAGACTTCTATTAAAGGAGAAAGAAAATTTAATTCTGAAGACATAGGATTGGTTTAGAATATAAAACAAATGGTAAACCAATTACCAATTCTACAATTCCCATTAGAATCTGATTATTTGATAATTGAGTGTGATAGAAGCGAATTAGGATGGGGAGCCATCTTAAAGCGCAAGAAAAACAAATATTCTTCTAAGATAGAAGAACAAATTTGTAGGTATGCCTCTGGCAAATACACTGCTAAACCCCAGGTGTACCAAACCAGCACTAACTATGAAGTCAATGCTATCATACATGCATTAGATGCTTTTAAACTATTTCTGATAGATAAGTCAAAAATAACCATTAGAACCGATTGTGAAGCAATTGTTTCTTATGGTAAAAACCAGATTCATAAAGATAAAAAGCCTCACAGAAGATGACATTTATTCAAGGATTATATGAATTCTAGAAAAATCATAAACTTTAAACATATTAAAGGTTCTGATAATATGTTCGCTGACATCCTTTCCAGGTACGTCACTACAAAGGACTCTGACAAGTCCTCAAAAAACCAAGACTATGGATAATGACTTGGTAGTACAAAATGACCCTGAGATTCTCCCGGGATTTGGGTTTTTACACAGACCATTAAGATTTGGTGAGACTGGTCCTCATCCTGTCATAATAATCACAAAACACATAAAAGGGCTAAAAAGAAGATTAGCCAAAATACATCTAATTAAGATGAACTAAACCCTCGTAATTTTGCTTATGAGGTTGCCTTTTGCAAGGCTCACATAAAAACTCTAGAACAAGGACTAGAGAAAATAAAGCATTTTGTTGTTTGATATAACCTATTTTCTGATTGTTTTTCAGGAACGAAAGACCATTGATGGCCTCTACAAGTTTATATAACTTGTTTAATAATGTTTCTTTTTCAGGAACAAAAAATCCAATGATGGATTCTACACATAAAGGGAAAGGGCCTTTAGGTCCGAAACCCACAAAATCCCCATTTATGGTGGAAAAATACATGAAGTATGAGAAACAAGAGTTACCCATACTTACAAATTCCTACCAGTTCCCTGGTAGGGAATCTACAAATATCAAATTAAATGTTTTAATTGACAATATTTGGAATATTCCAAAATACACAGCTCAGAATGAGCAACAAGTCGCTAAAATGAAGCA